CACCCTTTCTTTTGAGCAGTGATAGGGCGGAATTCTTGTGTTGACGGAAGACAGCAACCCAAAGTCACCATAAGTTCGGACCCGCAGCAAACAGTGGCTTTTTTTGTGCTTTTCTTTTTTTCCAGGTGTGGAGATCGTGTTGGTTTACTGGCCACTCATGATGGTCATTTGATGCTCTTTGTGAACAGCCAACTCACCTACCTTGTCTCGTGCCTTGGGCTGCACAAGAAAAAGCGGACGCTGTCAGCGGGAAGCAGCATTTGTCTCTCAAGAGATGACATCACAAAAGAGGAAGACAGATCTCCAATTTCCCAAGGGCCGGGGGTGGTAGCTTTCATATCTTTTCATGGGAACACATATTTTCTGGTTTATAAACCGTGAGCATCACCTTCGACTAGTGTTCTTGCTAGTTGCGCTCATGTATGCACGGAGTATTCAGGACACGGAGTCCAAGGCCGAAGGTCTCGGAAGTCCAAGGAGTTGCAGTTCCTGTTTGAACAGTTCATGTTTTTTCGAGACGTCGACAGCTCGGACAGGTACTGTGAAGTGCCGTGGGCAAACGACCCACCTTTGCATGCTCTCATTGATCTGGATGGGTGACATCCTCAGCAATGTTCGATACTAGGGGCTCCTGGCCTTACTACTAGGAACAAGGACGCTACTAGGAGCAAAGGGCATCGCTACCAGGAGCAAGGAGGGCCTCTCACAGCGGACGGACCAAGGAGTATCCAGGCTTTGAAGCTCATGGACAACAATGGCGTTCCTCCAGCAGAGGCCATGGTCCCAAGCATGTTCTTCTTTTGCACAGCCTAAACCGGCCCCATAGTGCACCTTTTCCATCCTTTTCCCTCCAAAAAACTTTTAGTAACAAGAAGCTACTAGGAACAGGTGCCATACTAGGAACAACCCTGGGAGACATAGGGTCTTTTCCGAGCAGCGACTCTCAGCGACTCTGCGAATCGTCAGGTCCTGGAGTTCCTGGGTGGACTGCGCGTGAGCGAGTTTCAGCGCTTTGAAGCCCTCGAGGAGAGAAGACCGAAGACCTCAACGAATCCGGGCGCGATGGCGATGAAAGAAACAACGACAAGTGCCACGCTAGTAGAAACAGGTGCCTTACTAGTAGAAACAAGAAGCTAGTAGAATTAAACTAAAATTAATAGCTTCTTGTTACTAGAAGCGATGCACTTGTTTCTAGTAGCTTCTTGTTACT